TAACTTCAGATTTTTACTTGGCTCACAATTTTTCTGATTGGAATCTGGATCTTGATAACAATCAATATAAGAAAATACACTAACTCATATAGGTGATTATTTCTTGTATATGATGTCATTATTACATTTTTATCAAGGTTTATATGTACTAAAATTTTTATTTGTATGCATCCCTTTTATTTTTATTTTTTTAATAAAAAGTGTGATATAATTTTAATGCTTAAATTTAACCATTGACGTGTCATGATAGAAATCTTTTATTCCTATCTGTGTATCACTGTAGCTATTTTTTAAAATTTTATTTTATTATAAGTTTCAAGTATATAGTACATTGGTTAGACATTTATATAGTTTATTAAACTATCTCCCTGATTGCTCTTTCTCTCCTCTGGCTCTCCACCTAGCCATTACATTAGTACTAACTGCATTCCCTATGCCATGCTCCCCATCCCCATGACCATCTATTAACTACTAATTTGTACTTCTTTAACCCTTCACCCCTTTCTCCCAGCCCCCCAACCCCTCTTCCCTCTGGCTGTCACTAGATCATCCTCTATATTTGTGAGTCTGTTGTTGATTAGTTTGTTGTTTTTGTTTCTTAGATTCCACATATAAGTGAAATCATATGGTATTTACCTTTCTCTGTCTGACTTATTTCACTCAGCATAGTAACCTCCAGGTGCATTCATGTCATTGCAAATGGTAGGATTTCATTTTTTTAATGGCTGAGTAATATTCCATTGAATATATGAACCATAACTTCTTTATCCAGTTATCTACTGATGGGCATTTAGGTTGCTTCAATATCTTGGCTATTGTAAATTGTGCTTACTATGTATACATCCCTCTTAAATGTGACAATGATTCATCCATAGAAAAGGGGACAATGTTCTTTCCTCTCAGATCAAATTCTTATTCTAAATAACGAAGCCTATTCTGCTGTCCTTTGCAGCCAGCTGTTGCAAATGCTGATATCATGTTTATTAAAATTCACATTCCATGGGACACGCTGTGCAAGTATGCAGAGAGGTTGAATATCAGGATGCCCTTCAGGTACTTTCAAATTTTATTTCATTCTATCTCAATATATATTAAAATGAGTCTTTTTTTTTCCCCCAAAACCTTAGAGCAATAAATGTAACCCTTTCTATAGAAGAAATGCTTTTTCTTCCACAGATTAGGTAAACTTAGACACTTGTTTTCTCCTCTAATTTGCTTGCCTAAGGTGACATTCTGATTCCTTGGAACTTTATATCATTTCTAAGTAGATTTACCTAGAGGGAGAGGAAAAACAATTGTTTTTAAATTTTAACTAATAAGATAATTACTAAGATCAATCTCATTTCTTGTTTCATGTGGGTAGACAGAACTTTTATTATTTTTATGGAAGGCAGAAAGTGTAAGTTTATAGCATTATAATGTATATAAATACAGTGTTTTCTGTGTAAAGGTTAGGAAGAAGCATTCCTCAGGTGCAGTTCAAGGAGATGGTTTTTTCACTTCTCAATATCAAAAGATAAATGGTAATGAGAGGTTTGTTCAGTTCAGAGATTTTTCACTTTCCCCTATAGGCAAGCAAAAATTGAATACACGTTTCCCTATATCACGTATCTTGTTTGTGCACAGAAGGTATCACTTCTCTTTATCATTTCTCAAAATAAAATTCAACAGTATTCCTACTATGTGCAGTGTTAATTTTCATTGAAGATAGGAACATTTACACTTACTTGGAACTCAATGTGCTTTACCAGCTACTGAAAAAATGTTTTAAAAGGTTCAGAGTAACAGGATACCTAGGAAAAGAGCCTCTAGATAATGAATATGAATGAACAGTAAGATTACAATTCAGAAATATGGAAAATTTCTCATATCTGGTAGCATGAAATAGGCCAACTCTGGTAAGATAGCAACATCTTTAAGTCTATGGCAAGCTTCTGTGATATTCAAGATAAATTAAAGTATTAGATATTGATCCCTACTTTTTTAGCGAAATACTTCACTAATGTGTTTTAGTGAAACACATCAGACTGAAAGATGCAACCCCCCAAAACAGAAATGGCCCACAAAACAGAAATTGATTAAGCATTAGCCATATAGAGGAATCTTACTGACAATATTAGAATTAGATACCTCAGTTGGCTCACATTCATGCTTAGCTAAGAGTTTAAAAGTTTTCTGTACAGGCGGTATTTAGGCAATAAGCAAATACCGCCTGTACAGAAAACTTTTAAACTCTTAAGCGCTTGGCAAAAGAAATAAAATAAAAAGCAAAAGAATATAAGTAAAGAAAAGTCTTTCTAATTCTTTAATATTTTCTACAAATGGTAAATAAGATACCTAAGAGAAACTGAAGTTTGTACATTTTTATGAAACCTGGTTCCTGAAAGTAGCAAATAATGGCCTATGAGATATTATTTGTGTTATGTATGATTAGATACTATGAAATCTACAGAAGACTGCTTTCAATTCAGGTCATTATACTAAACTAATCTTGAAAGTACAGCTAGGTAAGTATACACTTATGTTACTCTCTACATTTCTTGACTTCTGAGGAATTTTTCTCTGTTAACACTATGTCACCATCTAAAAAGTCTTTTGAAATACTTGCCTGGGACTTATTACAAACTGATAATGGGCGAACACTTGCCATTTGCTCTATCTGATTTCTTCTTGTTTGGTCTGTACCCATTCATGCTACACAAAATCATACAGAATCAAAACAGTGAGGTAAATTTTATCTATGAAATAAGCAAAGAATTTTACAAGAAGTAATTTTCAAACCTAGCATATATATGGTAAATAATCACCTTCGTTTATTTATGGTAGGAGTAAAACTTCATAAGATATTCTGAAATTCAGTTTGAAAATAATTTCTTTGAGTCTTAAAACTTTTCATAGCCTTCGCTTTTTATCTTCAGAAGATAATTGAAAAATGTGTAAAAATATTTCCTACAGTATTACTTATAATTGTGGTAAATGGAAATACTTTTATGTTCAGTAAAATTTAAGTAAATTAGAATATATTAGAAAATTTAAGTAAATTAGAATATACCCTTATAATGGAATGTAATTTATTTATAAAATGAATAGGTATAAGAATTTCTTAATGATTATAGGAAAATAATATTAAAATTTATATAATGCATATGAAATTATTCATACAATGTAATTTCAATAATGTAAAATACAAAGAAATAAAATTGGAAGAAAACATAATATGCTAAATATGATGAGTGGGATTATGCATACCTGTAATTTTTGTTTAGATTCATACACAATTATCTATTTTTAACAAACTCTAATTTACTTTGTGGTGTAAACACAGAATGCAAATGAAATATGCCATACATGATCATGACCTCCTCTCTGATGTCAGGACAAAATTGCTAAAAATATTTCTGAATTAATCCTAACTAATTTTAGGTACCTTCATCCTACCCTATTCTTATCATTTCACCATCATTTCTAAAAAAGAGTTGCAACTGAATTTATGCACAGGCTAATTTCCTTGTAGATATAAAAGGAGGAAACCCTTAGTCAGTGGGTTTCAGTGTCCAGGTTCAGTTCAGATTGAGTGAACGTGTAACATCTCATTAAAAAGGGAGCATATCCCTCATCTACCTCCTCCAGACTTTATATTAAACAGCAGTCCAGAAGATTGGTTCCTTTTTTGTTTTCCAAAGAGGGATTTGGCACAATTTGACTTAGACTCTGGCAAAGAAAAACACTTATTATTAAATGTCCCGTGACCAAATATACTTCTGAATTTCTGAGATAAACAATAAGTTTCTTTACTGTAATAATTTTTAAAGAAGTGGTTCTCATTCTCAATCTTTAGAGTATATCAAAATTACCTTGGAAACTGAAAATGAAGGTTCCTGGAACCTATACGCAGAGATTCTGGCATGTTAGATCTGAGTTAGGCTTGAGTATATATTTGTAATGATGCAGATGATAGAGAAATATTGTCTTGAAGATATTACTATTTTAATAATTCTTATATTTTTATCAATTTCAAGAGGCAATTACACAGAACAGCCTTTCTCAAATTTTCATCTGATAATTGATTTTTTAAAAATCTTAATATGATGGTGTTCTTGGGAAAGCAGTTTTAGGAATTCTAAAAAACAGTTCTTTGAGGATATCTCTCCAAATCTGTTTAAGTAGTAAATATAGCATTAACTAACTCCTTAGTAACTAACTTCTCATTTATTTTAAGATACATGTGGATTTAGGAATAACTGTCAGCACATAAAAGGAGAATGCAGTTCAAGAATAATCTAAATGGCAAAGTGTTTTCATGATGGCCATGTTCAGTTGTCAACTGTTATCACATTTAAGGACATATATATTGTCTTAAAATTAAAGTATACAGGAATAACAAAGGACATAAATAGGAAACATATCTTTTTAGGATGATATTTTAAAAACATTTATACATAAAAATTTTACCCATACTCAGTTAATATACATATTTATTCAGTGTTGAAAACTGCATATTACATTCCACAAAGAAAACCTGCAAATTTATTCAGAAGAAAATATTAGAGTTATAACCTTGACTGCAAAAGTTTTCAGCTAACTTACTGTATGAACATGAATCTCGAACATTTTATCTAAATTTTCTACTTGAATATATGTGTAGAATTTTATATAGCTTTATTTTCTAGCTATTTCTTTTCTTAATTATTCCTCCAAAGTAAATGTGACCTACATATTGGACTTGATGTTTCAAAACTAATCAAGAAAATTTCAAAGAATTAAAATAATCCGCATTTTCTAGATTTATTCTGCCAAGAAAGACTTAACCTAACCTGTGTCCTCTACATTCCAAAAATGTCAAATCCCAATTTTCTTTTTTTTCTTTTGATTCAAAGGTGATTTCTATTTATTCTTACCCTCTTTCACATTAAAAATGTCAAACTTATTTTAGGATTATTTAGTCATCCTGTAGCTTCTCAGGTTGAGTTAGTTCCAAGGTGAGGTCAACTTCCGATCTTTCCTCAAGCTTAGCTTCTCTTACAAATATTTTAAACATAGAAAAATTGGGGGAAATATTTTCAAAACATTAAGAACAATCTTTTTATCACAATTAGAATTAAACTTAGATCACTTTTTATGCAAAGGATAACTTACTCAAAAATAAAATAGCATAATAACATCCAGGAAGCCCATTATGTAGAGTAGATAAACGTGGAGTAGCTCTGCTTGACAAGGAGCAAGGGAATTAAACAAAGGCTCCCTCATTTATTCATCAACTATCTGAGTGTTTATTATTCATCAAACAATTGCCAAATATACACCAGGCATACAAAGTCAAATTAAATGAAGCTATTATCTTCACGAAGCCAGCTGTCCTGCAAAGATAGTCAGTGAACAGTTATATAACAATGAGGTAAATAGTGAAAGACAGTCTGTGTAGAGAAGATTCAGAGAGAAAATGGGTTTACAATCCAATGGGGACTGAATGATATATGCACACAAACATGTGTATGTCTGAAAGATATTCAAAGTGTGAGTTTGGAATAGGCATAGCAAACCTTGAAATTCCATACTTGAATTTAGGGTCGGGGTATGGAAGAGACAAGTTAAAAATTGTTTTCTAGTAATATGACCAGTGATTGCAATGAAATATAGTAGCTCAGAAGGTTTTCAAGTTTTCTAATCAGTTAATAATACAGTTAGGAATACATATCAATTGCCATGACTCTCATCCCTGCTTTCCACATCCCATACCATGAAGGACTTTACTGATCCCCTGATGTGTATTGATGGGTGCGGATACAGAGACATTTTAGAAGGCCCAGAATGACATTTCTGAGCTCCAAGATGAAGATGTAGTGAGAATCTTTTAAGAGATTAATTAACCTCTGTCACTAGAAATTTTATTTTCTCTAAAATCAGACATACTGCACAACTACTAAAAACACACAGTATCTTCTCATTGTTTTTCATCTAAAACCTTAGCATTTAGTGGTAAGATGCCTCATCATCTGCGCCTTATTTGTTATGCTGCCTCCTCTTTTATCACTATCCTCAACTTGCAATTTATATTCCAGTGATTGCCAAATTAGTTGTACTTCCCTGAATCTTATAATGATTGATCTGTTCTCATAATCATTTCATATGTTGCCACCTCTGTCTAGAATGTCATATCCTAAGTACTTCATTCAGAGGACTGCTCCCACTCACGCTTGAAGTTTCAACACAGATAACACATCCTCTGGGAAAGGCTTCCCTAACTCCTTTCCCCTCCATCTACAAAAACTGAGATCCCTTCCTATCACCCTGGTACTTCCATAGTGTTCTCCGTTTTCTTGCATTGTCACACTTTAACTATTGCTTGTTTCCTCAACTGTAAAGGAAGCTCTTTGAGGGTAGAGACCCTCTTTATTCTCTAAATTTTTAGTGATTATACCTTAACATTCTTTGCAAAATCAGAAATATTCGTTACATATGTGTTTAGATGGATGGATGGATGACTTTATAGAACAAATAAGCAAGTGATCCGGTTAATATACATTGTGTAGCAGACATGAGACTTTCAAAAAATAGAACTAAAAATCAAATATTCAAAAGTGATTTATCGATTTATGAAAGTGTTGTTGTTAGTAACTTAGGTTTCTGAAATTAAAACAATGGAAATTCAGAATCTGCTATACTGATTTCATGTCTTAAGCATATGGAAGTAGGAATATTGAAATGTTCAATATCATTGAATGATGTCACTCACTGGTATCATTATTTTGATTTGACTTTCCTCAGCTGATTTCTTTTATTTTTCAGGAAAAAATCCTATTACACTGACCAGAGGACCAAATCAATGGGCAGGTTTGTGGGTGATATGTAATTTGCTTATGACTAATTTGTAATTGGGGAAAAAAAATAGAACACATTTATTTACCTTTATCAGCAGTTGTGAATTTTAGGGGAAAAAATTTTTATTGATTTGTTCAAGAGATTCAAAAATGACTTGTGTTGAACTTAACAGTGTTTAAGATTAGATCATTTCTTTTTTCTATGTACCGTTGACATTCTTGAAATCCTCACTAGATATAATGTGATGGAAAGAGAATATTAATGCAAATTAGTAGTTGAGGAGATTTTAATTAAAAAAAAGTTATAAAACCAGAATTGATGGGTAAATGATGAATCAGTAGAGTAATAAAACAGACCCAAGAGAGATCATCTGGATCAATTTATACTCTTATTCACAGAGGAAAGATTAGTATCCAGAGTGATCTAGTGTCATATAGAATCTTTTGAATCGCCAACTGAAGGTGCTTCTCCTATCCTGGTATTGAAAACAAATTTATTTTCAAGAGTTTCATCTTAGAACGACATCTCTTTATTTTGGTAAAGAGTAGCCATGACAAAGGATTTTACCAAACCACATCCCTGAGACAGAAGAAACTTTCCCACTTGAATCACCTCAGCCTTGTTTCAGTGGATGAAATAAGCTTCCATTTAATGAACGCTAAAACAAAAAGCTTCTTACACTTGACTGTTTTTCTGCTCGTTGCAAAATAACAACAAAAACAAAATGTAAATATGGTAGAGTATGCTGTATTGAGTAATGTTGCAAGATATCACAAGCCAGAGTGACACAAAAACTAGACTCATATAGTGTAAATATCATACCATTTTAGGAACAGATTCAATAAATCTAGGTCCTTTACCAATTTAGAACTTTAGAGTAGGAAATTTTAAAATTTTATAACAGGAGTATATTGGTCTCCTTTAAACATTAAATGTAGGTGTGTTAGGAATGGGTGACAAGTAAATAATGGGGGATTAGGCTTGATATTAGAATAAATATTAAAGGAATTAGTCCTCAATTGGCTCTTTTAAAAATATTTATTAATGATGCTCCTCAGCCAGGTCAGATCTTTCTGTTTGTTAGGTAGCATGCTTGGACTTAGAATGAGCTTTCATCATTATCCTTGTGCCTATTTGGTCTTGATCTATGTAGCAAATTTCCCAAGTTATTTTTGCATAATAAAGTCATCATTGGAATATTATATAAATTTATAACTGCAAGATTTTTTTTTTCTGAATGTGCCTTCTTAATGTTGGATGTGTTGAGAAATGTCATTGAGTTCACTTCCATGTGCTCTATAGAATTTTGCTACTGTATGATTAATGAATTTTCTGATAAATAAGTATCTTCTTTCAGAAGTTTGCAGAAGGATAAAATCATATATTAAAATAACAACAAATATCTATTTACGTAGTACTATCATAATCTACTTTTAGAATAAATTTGTGTCTAGAATGTCTAATAAACGTATTTATTAAATCCTAAAGAAACAACATTTTTAATAGTGGGGAAGAAGTTTTCTTTTTCTTTATTTTGGTCAAAGTTAAAAGTAAATTAGAAAAATGAACACTATATTATGGTATATTGTATGCCATGATATGTTGTGTTATCTTTTAGGTTTATTATTTTCTGTTTAATTTTGTGAAATACAAATTCAGTTATCAGTCATTCAAAATGATTATTAAAATATATTAAACATTACTGTAGTCAGCCTCTATAATTTACTTATTACAAATGTTCTGTTTGTTCCTTTACTTTGTGGATGCATAAGGAAGGTAATGAATAAGTAGGAAAGGCATTTATGAAAGTATATGACATATTAAACTGAAAAAAGAAAGTCACATTATTTGTCCGAATTTAGATTTTTAATTAAGGGAATTACTGATATTGATTTTTTTTTGTTTACCTTTGAAGTAAAAAATTTAAATGGTGTGTGGGGGGCAGTAGTTCATCATACTCATAAAATTATAAAACCCAATTTGTAGATAATTGGAAAGAGGGAAACAAAAATCAATTATGTGTATTTACATTTCACTCGTATTTTTTCTTTCCTGAAGTGGGAAAGGTTCTGTGTAAGGGTGGTTTACACAATAGACATCAGGAGGTAGTTACTGTACAGGCAATTATCTAGCTTTTGAAAAATCATCACTTCTCCAGGCAGAATGATAGGATATGGCTATAGTTTTATTATTGCTGCTATTTATCATTTGCTTACAATACACTTTAACATTCAATTACCAAAGTATCTTCAAAACGATCCTTCAGGGAGGCAGTACAAAGAGTAACTTGTTTTGCAGATCAGGGAAAATCAATGACTCCATTGTCACTACCCACCACCCATGCCTCATTCCTCAGCTTTTATAGCTGGTTGGTAAAGTTCGTGCTCTGACCAAGTTCTTTAATCCAGATTTTTTTTCAATTTCTTTTCCATTCCTCCTGGAAGTTAGGGGGAATGCATGTGTGTGTGTGTGAGTATGGATGTGTCTGTCTTTTTGAACTCTTTGGAATGGCAGTAGAAAGTAAGCATGACTCTGGAATGCAACATAATCTAGTTCTAAAATGTGGCTTTGTTCCAGTGTACACAATTATTTTAGAAGACTCAAAAAATGGATGTCCCAGAACCCAATGGTTCTTGACAAGTCAGCTTTTCCAGACCTGGAGGAGTCAGACTGCTATACTGGCCCCTTCAGCCGTGCTCGGATTCACCAGTGAGTTTCCATCTCTTTGATCCCATTACCTGCCTTGATACCTTTCTGGAAGTTGTTGATGGAATCAAAATGCATGGATCAGTTCCATTGTTTGCCAAATAAGTCAGAGGATGTATATTTAAGTTATGAATAACACTTGGTGAACATTTTTAATTCTTTATCAACTATGATTTAGAGACTCTCAAGTAGTGAATATCAATTGTAAATTCATGGACTTACTAGCTCCCAATTCTTTCAAAATAATTACTAATACTAATTATATTATTAGTATTATCATCATCATTCCTGTAACTGTAACTGAGTGACTTACTAATAATAGAATTATTATTAGTATTATTTAATAGAATTGTTATTAAATAACATGCTTGCTTGAATAATGGATTGTACTAATTAATAAATTACTATATTTATAGTTACATTTAATTACTGTGTACTTACTAGTTTTATCCATTATAGTTTAATCTTATTAAACTGAGATGAATAAGAAATTTTTTTAAGGATTTATTTCATGCCTATCTATCTACGTACCAACATGTCTCTATTCATTTATTCATTCAACTAGTATTTTTTAAGTTTCTACATGATACAGATCGGGGTTATGACACTGTCCCTGTCTTCACAGTACTCCCAGTCAACTGGGGTAGACAAAAATATAAAATACTAATTAAATAAAATAGGATAAAGATGTATAAATGCACGGTATATAATACATCTATAGCTGCAGGGTATACTTTGTCATACACAATTCTGGATTGACCTATATTCTAGGATGTAGAAAGTTGAGAGGCAGAATGAAACAGAATTCTAGACCACCAAGCATGTCGAAGAGCCACTAATCAATGGGAAACTTTCTCCTTCCAGATATTTGATTTATGTCATTATTTAGTCTTAGCATCCTTCTTAATTCCAGCTATGGGAAGTAAAGAAAGGAATAGAAATCCAAATGGCTTCCTGGGTTAGAAAGAGGTTACAGTTTCAAGGGTGCATCTTTAGCTTTTTGCTAAAGAGCCCTTTTAAGGCTTTGTGATGCACCAAATAAAAAATATTCTGCTTTCTTTTTGAACCCAAGAAACTAGAGTGATCTTTGAAAAATCTCAATCAGATCATGCAACTATCTTGCTTAAATGTCCCCCAATGACCTCCCATTTACACTTAAAATAAAATTCAAGTTTCTTTTTGACTACTATGTGGTCATAAATCCTGTGGTCCCTGCCTGACACCGTCTTCTCATCTTCTACAATAGTCCACACCATTTACTTCAGGGACAAAAGCTTTGGTTCTGTCCATCAAAAATTTTATCTTAATTCCATCTCAGAGACTTTGTTCTTGCTGTCTTCTTTTCCTAACATGCTCTCCCCCGAGATCTTTACATGTTATATCCTTTTGTTTCATTTTGCTTAAACATCACTAACTCAGAGACCTTACTAAAAATGTTCTCTAGTCCCCTTGTCCCAGTCATTCTCTATGCGTTGCACTATTTCTTTGTTCTTCATAGCAGTTTCTGAAATCATGTAACTGATTTATTTACTTATATATCATCTGTTTCCTTCCTTTATAATGCAAGTCCACAAAAAAAGGGACTTACCTTCTAATGAAATATTTGTTCAGTGAATTCTAAATCGGTCGAATGGTAAAAGAATTGGTGGACATTTTTTGCAAAACTTATAATTAATAGGACACAAAACTGTTAATTTGGTGCATCTAAGTACAAAAATAAAAAAAACATGATATCAGAATACTGGAAGAACTTAGAGTCTAATAAAATGGACAGGTATACTGGTTACCATAATACAAGGCTAAGTAAAATCAATGAGTCAGGAAAGACACAAGTAAAATATACATTTTTATAAGAGAGAGAGAAGCTACATCCAGAGGAGAGGAGCCAGGAAACCTTGATGAAGGAGCTAGTCCTTTTTAGCAATTAAAAATGTGGAGGGCGGAAGGGAGAGATGGGAGAAGAGATATCAGAGACAGAGCAAAATCTCCAGGAAAAGAAGCATGGGATTCCAAGGCGATGATAAGTTCTACAGTTTGACAGACTATCAGATACAAGAAGCCAGAGCTATACGAAGTAAGACCAAGGAAGATGTTGAAATAAAGAATAGAGAGCCTGAGAGGGAAATAAGAAATTTAATTACGCGTCATGGAGAGCTGCTGACATGTTAATATTGAGTGCTGTAAATGTCAGAGCTGTGCTTTACAAGTCAGGTGGGAAACTGCACAGACAGGAGGACATTCTTCTCATAACCTAGGCAAGAGGCAGTGAGACTCAGAACAAGAAGGGTACAAGAAAGTCAGAGAGAGGCAGTTCAGTTGTGAAAGTTACTTAGTTTGTTAACTCTTTGAATATAGATGGTGAAGAGAAAGCAAGGGTTACACTCAGGACTAAGTGTCTGAGGAAATGGTGGTTCATCATTCACAAAGATAAAGCAACTAGAAACAGAAATTGTCAGAAGTTAAGCGAAAAACAAGATGCTTCCATTTTTTTTTTTTTTTCCCTTAAGGCTCCCAGTACATGTCATAGAGTAAATTCTAAAACAGACCCTTCCTTTCCTCTTGCGATCGCCCTTTTGCTCTTTACATCATTAACTCTAACATGGTTCCTCCTTGCCAATCTTCCTACCTGCGAACAGAGTAGGGCATGAAGGGGAAGGGGGAAGTATCGCTCATTGCTAAAGTTCTGTAAATAAGATAAGCTAGCTTGGAAAGTATGGCATGGAGAAAGTACATCAATTTTAATGTGTTCTATTTGGAAGTACATTGCTTAATTAAAATGCATATTCTTTTCTTGTTCTATGCTAAACAAAAAATATAAGGACATCTTGGCTTTCTTATGAAATGAAAGATAGTAAAATGAATATTTGACAATGTCCTGTATTATGTTTATTTCTTCTGTCAGTTGATTTTTTTGAAAGAGAATGGTTTCCTTTCTGATTTACTATACTTCACATGCACTGGTTTAAAGGAGAAAACCGATGGATGACTGCCCAGGAAGTTGTTACTGTTGCTGGATTCTGTGCTCTGCTTTAAATATTAATCCCCTTATCTTACCAGCTTTATAATAAACAATAAGGACACCTTCTTCAGCAATGCTACTCGAAGCAGGATAGTCTATCACATGCTGCAGCACACCAAATATGAAAACGGAATATCAAAAGTGGGTAAGAACACTAATTAAAAATGTAGAGACAGTAGAATTTGCTGTTACTCATATTACTCCAAAATATTTAACAATTGAAGTTTTGCCTTCATGCATTAAATATGAACATATAACATATATGAACATATATGTTCATATGAACATATAAATATGAATATATATGTTACATGAACATATAAATATGAACATTGAGCACAAACTCTAAACATTCTATTTTACAGCCTTTGAATAAAACAAAACAAAATAAAACAAACAAACTCTTGTAAGGGCATTTGGCCATATGTGTCAAAATGTGAAATGTTCAAACACTTTGGAATAGAAATTTTACTCTTAAAATTTATTCCAAAGAAATAATCAGATTTTTTGAATTATTATATATATAAATTTGTTCATTGTGCTATGTAATAGAGTAAAACTGGAAATATTTTAACTGTCCATCATTAGGAACTGACAAATAAGTTAGACTACAGCCACGTAATACATCTTTTAAAAATTTTGCGACATTTATTCACTCTTAACTCAAATGTATTGAGCATCTATTATATGTTATATGTTATAGACAATATTTGACACAGACCCTAACTCATGATGTTTAAAAATTAGTAATTAATTCTCTATTTATTATCAACTTCAAAAGATATATACAATGCATTATTAAGTGGAAAAAAAAATTACAAAACTATAAGCCTAATGGAATCCCACTTCCTAAACACACATACATAAAAAGAAAAAAATCTGGAAGGATATAGATGAAACTTTTGAGAGGTTATCTCTGGAAGGTGCAATAACAGCTAATTTTAACTTTCTAAATTTCTGTGTTGCTTGAATGTTTAGCGGTATCCTATTATGTGTATTATACAAAAGAAAAATCGAGAACATTTCACGCAAAATAATTAAAAGAATTGCAAAGTTTATGTAGAGCAGAACAGAAAACAACATGTATCAATGAGCTGGCTTTTTAATTGTTATAGGGTGAAAAATACAAGATGGTTGAAGAGACCAAATGTTAGTCATCTCCTCAAACCTTGAAAATAAAAAGGCAGTGGAAACTTGAACCAGTTTCTACTAATTTGCATTTAAATGGAATGCCACATAAGTAAAATGAATTTTCAAGTCAGCCATTTTTTACAGTGTAATGTTCAGATTTTTGTTGTCCTCTAATTATTTATTTTTGAGCAGTCAAAATAATTAATTTAGACACTATATCCCTACAAAAGAATTTTGACATCAGAAGTGTTCTAAACAAGAAATACAAATAGAGAAATATAGAATATAAACTAAAAATATGTCTAAATGATAGCACCATTTACTTATGTAGTCTTAAAAATATCACACTTTAAATGATTGTGAACATATCATGCCCTTTGTAGAATGTACAGTAAACAATATAAAAATAAAATTTAAATTTCTTTAAATTCAGTTGTCACTGCTACATATTAGTACCGAAACAATATATGTATATCATAATTAAAGTCATGCAGTATTTACAGTTTTCTGTCTTTTTTAAAATTACCATTATGAGTATTCTCGTAAGCCTTTTAGTATGCCTAAAAACATTATTGTAAGTAGCTGTACAACATTCTAAGTATTCATCAAGTCACAATTTTTTATCAAGCATCTAGTATAATGATTGTACCATAATAATTAAGTGACTCCCCAATTTTGGATGTACAATTATTTCTAATTTGTCACTAATATAAGTAATATTGCAACAAAAATTGCTCTCCAGAATTTTTTTCAAAATATTTTTTCTTATCAGGTCTATATGAGAGTGTCTCTTTCACTACACTCTAACTGAGATGGAGGAGATTTTAAGTGTCATATTGCTATTTATGACTCTTTGGCTCAGTATTAAAGAATTCACAGATTTCTCCGTACCAATATCCTTGAGACATTTTGTGGGGGTGAGGAATTCCTCTGCTTCCTTGAGTAAATTTTGTTTAAAAAAAAAAATGCTCTTGGTTCAAATGAATGAATATTAAAATGTTCCCTATTTCATTATATGACAAGGTGAAATCATATGTTGGCACCTTGCAAATCTTCATCTATTAGTGTCATAAGGACATAATTAGACTCTTAGTCTCTTTTATAACCTCACTGTCCTTATAGGCGATACGGTTATGGAAGTCATTTTGGTTATCTTGAGTTTTTAAATCAATTTATTGTTCAAAGTATATGTATGTTGTTTCAGAGGGAAATCTTCATTTAAAGTAACTCAAGAACTATTTTTTTCTTCTCTTTTCAGGTATCTGTAAACTTATAAACAATGGTTCATATATAGCAGCTTTTCCCCCACATGAGGTAATTTTGAAATACAATTTTCATTCATTTAAAAAACAAAAAAAGTTTCTTAAGTCTGGCTTTCCTCTCCCAGGAAGGTTCAGTCAGCGACTGGCCCTGAGCCTTTCTGAGACTTCCGCTATAATTCTGTGGCTGTACTGGCTCCGCTGCTCTGGAACCCTCCTGCAGTTTGCCCACATCAGGATCTGGCTTTGGAGGGAGCTCGTGGACATTGCTCAGGCACTCTGGCCACTGCCCTCTACTTCAGCAGAGCTCCATGCTTGACCCAGTCTGGGATCCACACCACTCCCAAATAGGGCAGGTTCCTCGTGTGTGCATACTGCTTTGGGATACCTGAAAATCTAACTCAAACCCGCATAAAACCTGTAGAATCTACTTGAGTCTCTGCCAGATTATTACTTGTCCAACAGTTCTAAGTAGAAAAGCCTGCACCAAGCTGTGGTGGGCTTTGCCTGCTGAGTCATGAATGACATCTGAATCAGTTTTAACCTCCCCCGCAACATACACACATTGTATTTATTTTATGGTAATTTTGCATCTTAATATAAGAACGAGGTCTTTAGAGGTTTCACTTCTGCATTTTCAAACCCATCACTCTTCTATTTGTAAAAACTCAGGACTCACAGGACATAATCCCTATACTTGAGGAATTTACACTCTAGTGTAACTCATAATAGATAAAATGTGTTGAGCACTTAACTATTTGGCACTGAGCTAAATGTTTTATATGAATGCTCTTATAACAGCCTTTTGAAATAGACAGTGATATTAACTCTGTTCTATAAATAGATCATTGAGGCATAGAAAGGCCAAGTATCAGAGGTACAGTTCTGAGCCCAGGAAGCCAGACTCCAATGCTCATATTAATTATTGTAAACCTACTTATTGTAGGAAGAGGAATAATAATAAGGGGCTGTTAGTGTATTTCATTCAATGAGCCTCGTGCATTTATCTTCCCATCAACCTGACAATGACCCTAGAGCAGTAGATATTATTAGTATTCTCATTTTAGAGATGCAGAAACAAGACAAATTTGAAGTCAGTAAGTGATAAAGTGTTCAGAGTGTCCAACCTAAGTGCTGGGAGAGCTTCTGCAGCAAAGGAAAGTTTGGTTTGTTTTCCATGTAATTAGTCTCCATAACTAATGTGTGTTCTTACAGTTCAATTGACAGTTTCTGGTGTGAAACTTGGAACCTATTAGGAACAGGTTGTAAATAATAGTTATTTTCCCACTTATTCTTATAATTCAGTAGAAATGCTAATATCAGGAACACATACACAGGATGACTGGAAAACAATTTTGTTGGAATATGAGTAACTAAAAGCAGAAAGACAATAAAATGGACTTGGAATTTGCTATCGATTTTAAATGCTACTACTTGAAGAAAACAAGGCTTACTTTCAGGAAAAGAGAGTCAACGGCACTGACTTTAATTTGATTAAAAATACTTCACAATTTATGGCCTCTTACTTTCTGGATGGAGGAGAATTGCTAGTGTCAGTATCATATTTTTCACCCATCTTTGAGATTTATGTTTTACATACAAAGGGACAATGGCTAAAAGGGAGAGAAAGGTATTTCCCGCAAAATTTGGCATGAAAAGGAAGGAAGAAAGGGAAGAAGAAGGATAATATATGTGAGAAAGAGTTTGCCTGATATACCGATAGTGGAGACAGAAGAAAAGTGTGTTGGCTGGAGGAAGGGGCCTGTAGTGGGGACGGTGGGGATCGGTGAGTGTGCATAGTCTCTGGAATGGGGTGAAAATATGTGGGTGGGCAGGAGTCATCATTTTAGTCAGTTTTCTCTGACAGCCCCCCTCATGTCACTGTAAACCCAGAAATGTATGGGAGAGTGCAATTATTGAGTAGAGTAGAACAATGATGCACTAGAACCTAAAACCCAGGAAATGTTTATGTCTGATCACTGAAGCCAGAAAGGAAAGCCATGTATTTTAGAAGAATTATCAGTAATGATTGAAAGAAAACTGAGATTTTGGTTCACCCTCCAATACCTACTTAGTCTCAAGGCGATCTACCTTAACAAGTCGGATACAATCTCACAAGTAAACAAACCTTTTCCAAGTGGTTGTCTCACACTTAGAATGTTGATCTTTGCTTTCATCTCCTTACTTTCCAATCTTTAGGCTTTAAACACCTTGGTCTCCCTTAAGGAAGAAAACCCAGAGACTATATACTTTAATTGTATCCACCCTTACCTAATTATTTTGTTAGCCAGAGGTGAAATCCACATGCATCTCTCATTTCAGCCTGGTACCAGAACATAATTCAAGGTATCCTCTTTCTTCATAGGAACTTACAGCTCTGGTCATCTGACACCATTCAGATGATAGTTTTGCACTTCTCAATAGCCACAACACATCAAACACCAAAAATTAACATTGATTTTGTGCTTTCTGCATGCCTGGCACTTTATAGTGATTACCCAAGTGGGCCCTCACAAAACCCCTCTATATTGTGTGTATCATTAATATTTATTCTTATTCTCATAATCTAGGTGAGGAAACTGAGGCATAATTCCACTTGTTTTAAATTTTCATCAAACTTTTCATGAAAGTGGAATCACACATTGGAGTGAGCAGAGAGATTTTGTCAAATCCTATGTCCTACATTTTGGTTCAGAATATACAGTCACCATACCTATTTCCCTCTTCTTTGATTATAAAAGCAAAGCAGTTTAGTCTTCAGAGAACACTTTTCTCCATAAAGCATATATATTCTGTTTTTGAAATTGCAACGTGTATGACAGATTTTTAAGGAAGGTATATAAAGAATTTGAAAATATGCTTTAATTTTTTGGAATATCTGATCTGAAGTAAGTTTAAAGGCTATAGAATTCAAAAAAAAAATCATCATTAGTACTGGTGACTTAGGCCTCTTAACACTTTTGAGCATTTGTTCTCTTCCATAGCCTCAGTAAATGAAGTAAATATTTTCTGGGACTTGATCATTTCTTAAAGCCAACTAATACTCAATTTCTGAACTAAGATCATAACAATTTCTCTCGATGATGGTGAAGATACTATGTTTACTAAAAGACTTTAAGTTCAAAACAGTGAAAACTGAAGTCTAGTTTACTTTCAATGAAAGGAATCTCATTGATTTAAAAAAGGAATTTAAGAAAGGATTTGAAAGGAACTATCAGAATATTTTCAATGAAAGAGAGATATATAAAGACATTTACTACACCATTCCAGAGATGGACATGGCATTTACAATTTCTGAAGCTTTCAGTAAGTTGTTAAATTATTTTGTAAGGGGGAAAAGAGAAAAAAAGCAATTCTATTTAGTTCAAATTTCACTAAGGGAATGGATATTGACTTTTCTTATTTTATCTGTTTCAGGGAGCCTACAAGAGTAGCCAGCCCATCAAAACCCACGGACCTCAGAATAACAGACATCTATTATATGAGCGCTGGGCACGCTGGGGAATGTGGTACAAGCATCAGCCCCTGGATTTAATCAGGTACTGTAGGTAGATCGATAATTGAAGACATATAATGCTGTTCTGCTGTCATTTTCTTAGATTTGGAATTATTTTATTTACCCATCAAATCATCTGTATCAGTCAGGATGTAATCAGGAAATTGGTTACACAGGGGATGGGAAAGCTGAGAAATCAACCAGGAATAGTGAGGCAACCAGAGATTAAAGCTGGAGAGGAAAATGGGATAAGTGTATTTCAGAGCCCAATACTTGACATAGGGCAGGAACTATACAATCCATGATTAAACTGCCTGCAAAGTGAAAGCTTGGGAGCAGAGCAGTGGTGAAGGCTTCCCTCTCCCCTGGAGACAGTCCTGAGGACCACTAAGAGAGAAAAGATCCTGCATCTGTTTTCTCTTTACCTTTGAGTCTTCTACTAAGTACCTCCTGGCCCAACTTAACCAGGAGCTATTTACACGGGAAGCAGTATAATTTACTTCTCTGTGAAAACAAATCAAAACGGGAAAGGCAGAAAATGGGTCTGAGAGCAAAGAAGAAAATGACCAACATAACATCCATACATATATTTATCTTTCAGTAAAAGTTTAGTATCTATTCTATTCCAGGAAGTATATTCTAGTGATTAATTGCCCTCAACTCAAACTAGTCTTGAAATACTGTTATGTTTATGATTTATTTTATTTTGATGCAGGATGATTTATTTTTTAATCAGGAAATATTTATTAAAATGACTTAATCATGTCCTAAGCTAACGAGAAATATTTATATAATGAAAGAAAAAAAGCGTTCATATTATAAGGTAATTCTGTTGATATTTTAAACTATTCATGAAATATAAATATCAAGAATCACTCATACCTATATCAGTCATTGTCCCAGTAGGAAACCGATAAATAGGCATATTTGAAAAGAATTTCATAAAAGAATTATACTCAGAAGTATAAATAGGATCAAGCAAACCAACAAATGATGATGAAGTTTCCAGAAACTAGCAAAGCTGGGTGCTGTTATCACACTTTGGCCTGCAGGAACAGGGGAAGAAAGCAGTTGGCAGAACCTGTCAAAAGCTGTAACCATATAAAGGGGGATGCCCTACAGGAGCTATGGCCTTAGGAAGAAAGCAGCTATAGCCAAATCCTAACACAAGAAGGAGAAAGTCGGGGTAATAAATACCCCACTAACTCTCTTACCCCAGCCTCTCATGCTGATACTTTCAGTTGGCCAAGAGAAGGAAGGAGCATAGGTGATACAGTGCATAGAGGTGAGACCCTTGGGGCACAAAGCAGCAAGGAAAGGGGTAGAGCATCGATCTGGATGTACAAAGCATCCAGCACCAAACCATTTTTATTTCAAACATTAAATACTTGGCTACATTCAAAATCAAGATACTTTGATTCTAATTCTGTCAATCACAACAAAATACCAGATTTTTTATCTATGCAGGTGAAAGAAATATTATTGTGGAAACATGTGAACACAATGAGATGTGCTAGTTCACAAAATCATATTTATTAGGAATTAAAACATGAAGTCGAGATTTTCAAGCAAGCATTTCAGTGTCCATAATCTCTCATCTATAGGAGACATTACTGTTGCTGTTTGGGTAATTTCAGCAATTAACCTTTATCTTTAATAAATAAGATTATTCATATGCTATTACCAGTTACTTAGCTGTTGACATAAAGGAGAAATTTTGCTTATGAAAATCATACATTTCATGTTCAAGTAGCAGAGGGGAGAGGGATGTGGTGAAGGGCCCACCCAAGACAAAGACCATAAACGAGTAGAAATGGTGTTTCAACAGGTTCCTACTCTCTAGCAGCCTGCTTTTTACCAAAATTAAGGTGTGATGAGGCAGACACGCATCTTAAACTAGATAATCTTATGCATAAAATTTTGTACAAGGCCCAGTTTTCTACAACCAGCAGGAAAATTACTTTAAAATATGTGACTTTTATAAATTATTTGGAGTAAAGTTGTTCTTAAGACTATACAGTTTTGAGGACATGGGTCTCTTTTTGTGTTTCTATCTATAGTGAGAGAAAGCGGGGGAGGGTCAGGAATTGGTTTTTCCTATACTTTGGCCCTAGATAGTGGAGATCATAATAGACCTACAGACAAGGCCTGTATTCTCTCATGCTGAAGCAGGCAGTTCATTAACAGTAGATGAAAGGTGTGGGGCTCTCACTTCTTTTTTTTCATATACAACTATTTCTATGTGTTTGTGTTTTTTCCATTTTAAGAATGAATTGAAACATTTACTAGCCAAAGCCTATCTTAGTGTCAGTCTGTTTTCTCATGGAAAATATTTGAATCTGAAAAGAGCACATTTTAAAAATTGTCAGCTACAAAACCTGCTTAACAAAATAATTGCGTGGTATTTTTTCAAATGTTTCACCATAGGCATCAGTGAGATTTAAGTTTAAAAACTAAATGAAATAATACTCTCTAAACAGTTCAATTAATCATTTCTTTATTTATGATAGAGGTTATTTCAGCAGCAGAATCCTGCCGTCAAATGAAATGTCGTTTAGGGTACCAGTGTATAAAACAGATAAAGAGAATGGCTGTGAGTGAAGCGTGATGGGAAGTGACACAAATAGCAACTCCTTATTCCTTCTTGCCCTGTCATGGTTTTTGAGATATATTTAAGGAACACTTAGAAATCCTACAAGATCATCAATACCAATGCTCTGGGTAAAGGTCATTAATCAGGAAATATGTATTAAAAAAGACTTCAGCCTTCTTGGCCTAGAACTGTCTCATCCCTTTCCTGAAACTGATCTGAAATATGTTGTAACTTAGGTGATTTTTCTCCCATCAAATAATATCGTTGCTCCTCTAAACCTTCAACAACGCGTAATTAAGAATCTTGGTACAATACCGTCTGTATAAGGGGTCTCTCTGTGCAGTCGTCTCTAATCACTATTATAAAGATAGTTTAATATATTAGTAATATGTGCTAAAAACTTTACTCTAACCCACAGAGCAACACTTGCTTAAAGAAACAAAGGCTTTTCTGCAATACCTGTTAATATAATTAGCTTTTGTCTCAAAGTAGATTACTGTATAAAAAAAGAATAAACTATTGGTTCATGTGTTCTAGGAGAAATAAATGAAAAAAAAAAACAAAAACAAAATACTAGGTAAGCGATGCTTAGTGGGGGATGACTCCACGTATACACTTGGTAAAATATAAACAAATTTTAGTTGGCACAATACAGAGAACAGAGTGGGGGAAAAAAAATGATTTTCAGAAAGGGAAGTCTTATTAAGGAAAAAATCAAAAGGGAATGTTCTTCCCAGCAAGAATTACTGCCCAGTGCAATATATCCAAGTGAACTGCAAAAAAAAAAATCTTTAAAACTATTGCTGAGACAAAACTATGTGTTGAGTGATCATTTTTAGAAGATGGAGACCAAACAATAGTAGAGACTTTGAGAAATTATTTCTTATCAGAGCTTTATGAATTGTGTGACAGTTAATATTGACAGTAAACTTGGTGAGAAAAGAATGATTGAGTAGTCATTAGAATAGCTTTATTCAGCTACCATTTCCATATAAACCGTATCTGTCAGCTAAAGGAAAATAAAATACATTAATTCCCGTAGCTTCATTTAATATTTCCTGTGGTGAGAGCTCGTGACACAAGACAGAGGTCCACTTTCCAGCAGCTTGCAGCGTAATGGGAAGAGAGAGGAATGGAGGAGTGACTGGTAATTGCCATAAAGTGCTTTAATTTAGGACACTAAAATGTGGATGAGGTCAGAGTGTGAGCAGGAGCAGGAGCATCTAACCCAGGGTTGGAGTAGAGATCAGGAAAGTCTTCCTGGAAGAAGTGATATAAAGTGAAGGATAAGTATGAGCCAGACAGGGGAGGGAGGTGAAATGTAATATTCCAAAGCATTAACCAAGGAAAGAATCGTGTGCTCCAGGAACTTCAGAGCTGAACTTTGTTGAGGAAGATGTAACATAATTGTGCAGATTGTGTTTGGCATAAAGGAGTCTGGCCAAGGGTGCAAATGGAGACTGAAATCGAATCTGCTCTTAGCATCCACCTAGAGAGGAGAATTTTTGTTTCTAATTTATGCAAAAGCAATATGGTTTAGCACAGCTCTGTGTGTGGAAAACAAAAAGGGATTCTAGTAGGAGGATGGGAAAAAGCAAGAATTAGCTTTTATAAAAAGCTTCATGAGATATATTAAGAAGTTTGACATAGAAATAAACACATTTTATAAAATCGTTTCTATAAAGACAATGTTTAAAGATAAACAATGTCACCATTATTAGATTCATTAACAACCAGGAATATTAAAATACTCCAGATGGAACTGACAAGGAACTGAGCTGGTAGCCTCTAGTATCTGTCTGAAATTCTGACTAGGTGTGACATCAATATTTGTAGTGTCACTTGTGTTGCCTTAAGCTAACAATTTGCTTTATTATGCAGGCTATATTTTGGTGAGAAGATTGGTCTATATTTTGCTTGGTTGGGATGGTATACTGGAATGCTGA